CGTAGAAACTGAGTACAACGGACCCAAATGTGTTTACACATTGGTGGATAAAATTTTGAACAATTGTTGTAACATCGGGTATGTCAAATGATTTTATTATTTAAAAACACAAATTAATTTTATTAATTAATAAAGGCAAAAGCAGTTGAATTTGCCGATATAAAATAGGTGTGATAAAATTCTATTTAGATATTTCTTTCCTTGCGAAAGTTTTCGTCCATTTTTATCACATCGCCATGCCAGTCGCATTGTGCTAGGTCAGGTTTTACAGTGGACCAGTTTTCAGAGCCGTGCAGAAGTGTATTTTTAAATCATTTTCGAACTGCCCCTTTCGATTTTTTCTTTAGAAAATTGTATTTGTGAGGGTCCCCTGTACATCCAGAATTTTTTTTGGATAAGTTCTGAATCACCCTGTATATAAAGCATTAATGAATCTCACTGCCCAAAATAAGAAAATTAAGGATGTAATTACGTCGCTAATAAAGGAACTCGAAATAAAAACTAATCAAGTACAGAGAAACTATGAAAAGTTATTAGAGGAGAATAAACAACTTAAAATTAAAATTCGACTTAATGAAAGAAGAGCCAAAAAGAATAATATTATCGTATATCGCTGTCAAGAATATGAAAATGAAAACTAAACACTATTTTGACGTTAATAAATGGAAAATTATATGTAGAATTAACTATTCAAGAAATAAATAATGCTTACCGGTTTGGAGTAAAGAAAAGTAATACTAGAAGTCGACCGATCCGATTAGAGCTAATCTCATACCTAAAAAATCAAACATAATCAGTTAGGCTAACAAACTGAAAGGAACGAAAAACTAAGTTTACCATCAACTCCTGTTACTACTGAAGAAGTTTTTTCAGAGATACTTTGTAGTAGCAACAAAGAAATAAAACAATAAAACGTGACAAAAAAACACCCAACATTCCAAAAATGCTCCCTTATCAATAGCTGAAGTTGTCAGTCGTCGAACAAAAAAAAGTTCATCAGGTGAACTATTCGATCCTCAGAAAGGATTGCTAAGTCCGATAAGAAACATTAATAATTCCATATATGTTTGTTGGTGTAGAACAACGTCTTTCACCAACAGCTAAGAATTTACGTTTTAGTTACAGTTCATTGCCCGCTCCAGACACCATAAGATACTGCGAAGAGGAAGATGCAGAATAATACGTTGAAGAAGAAGCCAGTAATAAAAAGAGAAAACTGTATCCCACTAACAGAAACACTAGAAAGAACGAAAAGGCAAAGCCGATTTCGGATGTAAAAAAGAATGCAAAAATGGACCCGTATATAAGAGACTATTGTGTAAGCTCTATAGAAACTGTTGAAGTAGGTACATAATATACAAGTGTACAATAATGCCCAGACAAACTTAACAAATAATTTTCAAGTAATACATTTAAATATTAGGAGTATGTCAAAAAACTTTTATGAATTGTGTGTATTTTTAAGTCAATTTTGTAAACAATTTAATGTTATTGTTTTAAGTGAAACATTTCAGATAATAGTGTTTTAGTGTTTTTTTATATGGATGGATACCAAATGATATACAAGGTGTTTCAGAAAGACCTCCCGTAAATTCAGGGGGTGATAGTACGACAAAAATAAGAATTTTTTGTCTTATGAACTATATGTCTATCTCCTCTTATTTTCGAGATACAGAGCGACAAAATAAAATTTTTTAATTAGAATTTCTACGAAAATTTCCAAACGGTGCGAAATATTTTTATGAAATTTCGTATTCCGGGGTTTTTAAGGACGCCAAATACGCTGGTCTAATTATTTTTTTTGGATATTTCATAGAGGGCGCTAGTTACGCTACATTCCTATTAAATTTTAGATTCAAATTGTTTTAAGGTTAGGTTTTTTACCATTCGGGCTCCAATTTCTAATGTACAATTTTATTTTCTAAAAATAATGTACTCTTGTTAGAACTTCCTAATGTGGATGGTTTTCGAGAAAAAAGGCTTTTAATAGAACTCTTATAATATTATGATGAAGAAAATAAGTGACTTTTCTCAAAGTAGGCTTATATCAAAACTTATTGATGGATGTCTCATAAACAACGCATACATTCTCAGTAATATTTTAAACTCTAATTAACTTTATATCAAAATTTTNGCTTTTAATAGAACTCTTATAATATTATGATGAAGAAAATAAGTGACTTTTCTCAAAGTAGGCTTATATCAAAACTTATTGATGGATGTCTCATAAACAACGCATACATTCTCAGTAATATTTTAAACTCTAATTAACTTTATATCAAAATTTTAGTGATTGTTAGTGACTGTAGTTAGTAATGACTAATCAGTCACTAAAATTGCGATATAAAGTTAATTAGAGTTTAAAATATTACTGATAATGTATGCGTTGCTTATGAGACATCCATCCAATAAGTTTTGACATAAGCCTACTCTGAGAAAAGATTATGTAGAAAAAAATACAAAAATAATTAAAATAAAAAACGCACATAGAAAACGGAAAGAATGGATAACACCTGGTCTTGTCAAATCAATAAATACTAAAATAAAAATGTATAAGAATTTATTAAAGCGACCGGATGATATTCTTTTACAGGAACAATATAAAACATATAAAAATACTTTTACAAAATTAATTAAAAAAAACTAAATATAAGTATTACAAATCTTTAATAGACAGCAATAAGGGTTCTTCAAAACATCTATGGGAGATGGTAAATACTATATGTCATAAAAGTGATAAGTCGCAATAAATAAGATAAAATTGGAAAACGGCTTCATAACTGAAAATAAAAAAAAGATTTCAAATGCTTTTAATAATCATTATTGTAGTTTGGGAAAGACATATGCAGAAAAAGTTATTCAACCTGTTGATTTTGTTGAAAATTATGATACTTTAGAGAACACAATGTACCTCTACCCTACAACTGATATTGAACTAAAAAAAAATAATTAAGGAATTAAAGCAAAAAAAAGCGCCGGGATGTGATGGCATAAAATCGGTAATATTAAAGGAAGTGTCAGATGAAATAGTAATAATTTATATTGTAAACATGTGTTTCAGTACAGGGTGTTTCCCAGAGCGTCTAAAAATAGGAATTATTAAACCATTGTATAAAGGAGGCGACGCTTTACAAATAGTGAATTACCGACCAATATCACTAATATCCAACATTTCTAAAATCATTGAAAAAGTTGTAAAAGTTTAATATAATGTCACCAAAGCAGTAGGTACCTACAGATTTAGGCAGGGCTAATAAACAGAGGATGCTATTTTCGATTTGACGTCATGTATACAGGGTGATTCAGAACTTATCCAAAAAAAAAATCTGGATGTACAGGAGAACCTTATAAATTCAGTTTTGTAAAGAAAAAATCAAAAAGGGCAGTTCGAAAATGATTTAAAAATACACTTCTGCACGGCACTGGAAACTGGTCCACTGTAAAACCTGACCTCGCACAATGCGACCGGCATGGCGGTGTGATAAAAACGGACAAAAACTCTCTGAAGGAAAGATATGTAAATAGAATTTTATCGCACCTATTTTATATCGGCAAATTCAACTGCTTTTGCTTTTATTAATTAATAAAATTAATTTGTGTTTTTAAATAATAAAATCATTTGACACAAAATTTTATCCACCAACGTGTAAACACATTTGGGTCCGTCTTACTCAGTTTCTACGAACTAACACAAATGTTGTCTTGCTTCACCATAACACAAATGCTTCACCATAAATTAAAACGATATCCATCAACTCCGAATTGCTATACACGCAAACCATTTTTGACACTAACTACTAAAAAACTATTGTGGGTGTTTATAATAGTACAGGTAAATACTATGGCAACGACGATTGGAAAATCCGATTTCAGTATTCGGAGTCGCTGAAGCCACGCGCTCTCTACGCGTATTGCGAATGACGCTAGAGACTACAGTTGTATATATATACTATGTAGTGGTTGAATGTACTATAACTTCAATAATTATTTTCTCGGAAACTATAAGGATTTTACAAAAATTTTGTTTGCAATATTGACTCCATTTCTCATGCCGCATCTATTCCCATTTTTTTTTGGATAAGTTGTGAATCACCCTGTATATGAGACGCTGGATAAAAGTAAACCAATTTTATGCATTTTCGTAGACCTAGCCAAAGCATTCGATATGGTTTGCCATAAGAAACTTTTGCATAAATTAAAAATGTATGGACTGAGAGGAAGAATATTTATATTATTAATAGAACTCAGTATGTAAACATAGATGACACAACAAGTTACGTTGGAGAAGTTAAATATGGAGTCCCTCAAGGAACTGTGCTAGGCCCACTATTTTTTCTTTATATGTAAATAATTTGTTATCATTAAATAGTAAAGGTAAGATTATCAGTTTTGTTGACGATACACTGCTATTATTTGAGGCAGAATCTTGGAATGGACTTAAGGAAATCGCTGAAAGGGAATTTAAAATCATAAAGAAATTGTTTCATTATAATACTCTCGCATTAAACTGTAATAAAATATCCTATATGTCTTTTAGTTCTTATGCTAGTTACCTACCTACTTTGGGACCCTTAAATATCGATAAGTGTCACTCACCCTTTTTTCAAAAGCAGTTGGGAAGAGAAGCGTGTCATATATCGCACTCAAATTGTATAATTTATTTCCGACTAAAATACAAAATATACAAAAACTTACCAAATTTAAAAGACAGGTTAAAACATAGATCTTTCAAACACCTAGACAAGTTATAGATAGTGTAATAAATCAGAAATGAGAAATACTAAAAAATATGATACAAATTTTATACCTATGCACAATGAAGGGCAACTTAAAGTCCCCACTAGTTGGATCGCTCTCATTCTATCGCGCCCCAACTACCACTACTACGACTACTACGACTACTACTACGACTACTACGACTACTACCACTACTACCACTACTACGACTACTACGACTACTACGACTACTACGACTACTACTACGACTATTACTACGACTACTACTACCACTACTACCACTACTACCACTACTACCACTACTACCACTACTACCACTACTACCACCACTACCACCACTACCACCACTACCACCACTACCACTACTACCACAACAAGGGAAATCAGAGAAAGGACCAAAAGTAGATCAGGAAGTGTAAACCCCGTAATAAGTCTGGGACCATCGAGGGCCTCCTTGCAAGAAAATGCTGCAGCAAGCGAGACCCCAGAAGGCAAACTGCCAAAATGCCTTTCCATATCAAATTCATGCAGGCTAACCTAATGAGATCTGTCCATAGTCATGATATTGCCTATGCGACGGCAATCAAAAGGGACGTGGATGTTTTAATTGCATGCGAACCAAATAAAAAATGGATAAGCTCAAACAACTGGAAAAAAGATAGGAAATCTGATGTGGCAGTACTGTTCATTAATAAAAGAATAGAGGACTTGAACGTAACGATGGAAGAAGGGTACATATGTATAGAACTGAGAAAGTGCCGTATGTATTATTGCTACAGTTCTCCCAACATTTCGCTTGACAGGTTTAAGGCGGATCTCGATGCGGGGATGGAAGACATATAAAAAGGTGTAGAAAAAGAGAAACCAGTATTCGACTGGAACTGTTTCAGAACCACCCTAGAGTGGAGGGTGAAGGTCGCAAATACCCTCAATGCAGGAGGTGTAGCGAAAGAATGTACGCAAATGCTGAAGGAGACATGTGGAGTTAGCCAGGTACACAGAAGCGCAAAACAAAAATCATTACTACCTTAATGGTGAAATAGTGAGATAGAACTGCAGAGAGCCAAATGCATCCGAAGTAGACGGCGGTTGACAAGGAGTAACGGAGACAACGACGAAAGTGGAGAAAACGTAATCAAGGAAGAATACAAAAAATCCAGAAAGAAGCTAAAAGACCTTATTAGCAGATCAAAGGCTAAACAAAGCCTCTGTGAAGAGCTAGATAATGATATATGGGGAAATGGATACAAAATTGTCACCGGACGATTGACCAACAAATTGCCCGTGGATCTGACGTTTGAAAAGAGGAGGGAGGTTGCAAAGGAGTTGTACCCCCAAAGAGAACACAAAATAAAGGCTCCAGTGCCGATTAGTGAAGTCGAGCTTTTTACCAAGAAGGAGTTACTGAGGGCAGTAGAAAACATAAAAAATGGAAAGGCACCAGGGGTGGATGGAATACCACCAGAAGTAGTAAAAGAGGTCGTAAAAGCCGTTCCGGACTGGATGCTCTTTGTCTTCAATGAACTTTTAAGGATACAAAAATTCCCAGTTGATTGGAAAGTGGCTAAATTGATCCTCCTACCAAAAGGGAAGTCAGTGATGGAGGGTTCATCAGGATATAGGCCGATCTGCCTTTTAAATAAATACCTTAAGAAAACTATACGAGGTATTAACAAAGAGTAGACTCGAGAATGAGTTAGAGGTAAATGGGGGGTTTTCTGACCAGCAGTTTGGATTTAGAAAGGGGGATCGACAATACAGGCCATCGAGAAAGTACTAAAGAAGAGAAATCGAACAGAAGATAAATGGTGTACTCTAGTAACGATTGACATCAAAAATGCTTTTAACACGGCATCGTGGAGGATCATAATCAACGACCTTCAAAGGAGAGGTATTCCACAGTACCTGATAAATTTGATATATAACTACTTTGAAGGGAGAACAATTAGAGTAAACAAGGGAGAAGAGATGGAAGTCACAGCCGGGGTCCCGCAAGGGTCAGTTCTGGGACCGTTGCTTTGGAATATTCTTTACGATGGAGTGCTTAGGATGGAATTGACAGAAAAAGCAATGGCGGTGGGTTTCGCCGACGATTTAGCGCTGGTCGTAACAACCGCGAATGAAGACGAACTACTCTACGGTGTCAACGAATCACTTAGACGCATAAAGGTGTGGATAGAGCAGCATGATCTCGAGCTGGCAGCACAGAAAACAGAAGCTGTCGTCATGAAAGGACCAAGGAAGAGAAAACATCTGCGCTTCACAATTGGATGAATGGAAATTACTCTGTGTAAAGCGTTAAGATACCTGGGGGTGGTGATCGATGAGGGTGGTACATTTGGAGAGCACCTAGAGAAAGCAGTGAATAAGGCTGAAAAGAAGTCTGCAACCTAGCTTGGTTGATGCCAAACTTGGGCGGACCAAGGACATGTAAGAGAATGGTACTGTGCGGGGTGGTCCATTCAATTTTACTGTATGGGACCCCTGTATGGCACACGGCACTGCAGAAAAATAAATATAAGATGATGCTCGAAAGGACCCAGAGAAGAATACTATTACGTGTTGTGATGGCGTACAGAACAGTGTCGCCAAAAACAGTTCAAGTGGTCGCGGGAGCAGTGCCCATAGATCTGTTAGTTAAGGAGAGGTGTATACTACACGAAAGAGAGAATGGTCATTTCGTGGCAAAAAAGAAGATGACGATAGCCAACATTATTGTGGAGTGGCAGAGGTCATGGGACGAAAATATAACGGTGGCACAATGGACCAAATTAATTTTCCCAGACATCAAAACATGGCTTGAGTGCAAACACCGAAATGTGGATTACCACATGACTCAGATCTTAACTGGGCATGGAAGGTTTGGTGTTTATGCAAAGAAGATGGGAAAAGGGACAGTGATGAATGCCGTTATTGCGGAGAACAAGACACAGCGGCACATACGTTCTTCATGTGCCCAAAGTGGGAGCAACTGTATGTAGCCCTAGGGAAAAGGCTGACAGTAGACAACCTTATCCAAACAATGGTGGAGCAGAAAAAGGCCTGGGACAAATCGAAAGAACTTATGATTAAAATAATGAAGGAGAAGGGAAGAGAAGAACGAATGGTTGGACAAGTTCAAGAACCACCAAATCTTAACGCACAGCGGGAAAACCCCTATAGAACTCCTAATCCCTATACTCGGGGGAGGGGAGAAGTAGATACCTTTATGTTACGTCCACGACGGTTCCAGGGTGTAAGGGAGAGGAGGAAAAAAAACTACTACCACTACTACCACTACTACCACTACTACCACTACTACCACTAAACTACCACTAAACTACCACTACTACCACTACTACTACTGTAATTTACACAAAATTAAACTCACCATAGAAATGAATTAGTTGAAATCAGTAAATTAATCCCTGCAACTATTGAGTCATATTAGGCTGTTTACAAATAAACTCAGTGATTTTTACGAGCACTAGCAAAAATATCAGATGAGCACCTGCTGGAACAATTGAAATTCACGCATACGCTCTAAATGCCATTACCATTTATTAGCCATTAGGCAATAAGTATTTGTCTATTGATAAAACGTGCAAAACAGCGTTATAAAAAAATTATCCCAGGATCAGGATCGTGAATTCGGTATTTTTGCATTAAATTGAGTTTATTTTTTTTAAGTTGATTTAAAAAAAAAAGATAAATCACCTACGTCTCTTTGTTCCCACGAGACGGCTTTTCTTATAACGTTAATTGTTAATTTACTGTTGGACGTATACGGACTGGGATGTTAAAGACAAAAATTAAAGAAAAGGTTAAACTTTTATTTTCAGAAATTTTACATTGATAGTTCATGTAATAAACGCGCTAGCAGCAGTAAAAGATAACGTTAATGAACAATCTGCACGTGGCAGCGCTGGGCCCGCGCATGCGCGTGAACATAGTTCTCTTAGCGCGCTTGATTTTTAACTTGAACGTTTTAATTTCGGTTAAAAATATTTGCGCGCGACGAAGGTGGCGTTCACGTGCGTGCACGACCCAGGCGCTCCTTCCGCGTACAGGCTATTCATTAACGTTAACTTTTACTGCTGCTAGCGCGTTTAATACATGAACTATTAATGTAAAACATTCTGAAAATAAAAGTTTTACCCTTTCTTTAATTGTCTCTAAAATCCTGATCCGATACGTCCAATAGTTAATTAACAGTTACGTTATAAAATAAAACTATCTTGAGAACAAAGAGGCATAGGTGATTTTCCTATTTTTTTAAATTACCATAAAAATAAGCTCTATTTTACGCAAAAAGAGCGAATTCCCGAGCGGCTTTTGCCTAACCCTGGGGTCAATTTGTTTATAACGCTGTTTTTCACATCCTACTTTGTTAGTTATAAAGGGCAACTTAATCTCAACTTTTTGAAATTTTTCTTTTTCGATACGCTTCTTTTGATCAAATAGAACCTATATCTACTATATTAACTTCTAAAATTAACGTATAATTAAACAATTAATTGCAAAAAAAACGAACGAAGTTAATTAACAAATACCTGGAACAACAATTTCATTCACGGTCAATTTAATTGGCTCTTGGCACATATGTTGATCTTTGTATTGACTGTCTTTTCCATTAATTTTACCAACATCCAATAATTTTGCAATAATAATGCTCAATTTTTAAAAACTTATTTTTCCGACTTTGGCCTTTTTTACAGTTAACAAATTGGTAAAATATGATTTAGATACCTTAACTAAATTATAGGTAATTTAATTCCCTACATGCCGCCAACATAAAATAACTATTTTTCCGATCTGTCGCCTAGATTTTCATAGGCAGTAAAAAAAGTGAAAAAACATGTAATTTTGCAACTTACTTATTTGCAATTTGCCAACTTAACGTCACTTCTTTCGAGTTACTTTTTTGATATTATCATACCCTTGTGCTCCATAAAATGCAATAAATAAATACCTATTTTTTTAAATTTTCAGGTTTTGTGATCTAATTCCACTGGAGTAAAGAGTAATTATTTTAGCCTTTTCCTGATCGGTACAATGTATGTTTGTTTTGTGTTAATAACAGCAACAACAAACAATTTAAATTATAAAAAAAACTCAATCTTGACAGAAATACGCNAAAATAAGCTCTATTTAATGGAAAAAGAGCGAATTCCCGAGCGGTTTTTGCCTAACCCAGGGGTCAATTTGATTATAACGCTGTTTTTCACATTCTACTTTGTTAGTTATAAAGGGCAACTTAATCTCAACTTTTTGAAATTTTTCTTTTTCGATACGCTTCTTTTGATCAAATAGAACCTATATCTACTATATTAACTTCTAAAATTAACGTATAATTAAACAATTAATTGCAAAAAAAACGAACGAAGTTAATTAACAAATACCTGGAACAACAATTTCATTCACGG